GTTGTTACAGATGCTAGTTTAACGTTGAGGAATTTTACACGGTCTTGACTCAAATAGAGGCGATTTTAAACTCCAGACCTTTATCCCCTCTTTCAAATGACCCTTTAGACCTTTACCCATTAACCCCAGGACATTTCTTAATTGTAGCGATGCTCTGGTCTCAGTTCCTCAACAACCAGTAGTTGATATACCATTGAACCGATTGTCCCACTACAAGAAACTACAACAAATGGTGCAGAGTTTTTGGAACCGCTGGTCAAATGAGTATCTGCATACCCTACAACAACGTTCCAAATGGAAGGAGGACAACAGCAACATTATCATCGGCTCGCTGGTTCTCCTCAAGGACGAAAATCTTCCCCCCATGAGTTGGCAACTGGGTAGAATCATGGAGGTGATTCCCGGCAAAGACGATAAGGTTCGGGTAGTGCTGGTGCGTGTCCGTGGCGGTATTGTTAGAAGAGCGATACATAAAATTTGTCCGCTGCCTCAGGTAGACTAGATATGTATTATTAAGCTAAGATATACTAATATAAGTTATGATATGTTAGTAATATGTGCCATTTTTGATATTGTATAAGTTAATATTGTTAATTCAAATTAATATTTTATTTTGTATATTGAAATAGTTAAGTATTTCAAGGCCGGCGCCATGTTTGTTACTTAATAGAGAATTTGAATTTAGCGCCTAAAGTGCGCCATATTGGTGACGTAGAGAATGACATAGCAGCCATGTTCAAGAAAAGAATTGTACACACATTCTTGTAAATCACACATAGCAAATAAAGTTTCATAGAAGTTACAACTTCTTTCAATCCACAACATACACACAAAAATCAACAGTCCACTGCACAATCATATTCAAACAAAACAAGGTTCTTCAGTTGAAGACGTTTTAAACATTAAAACTCGTATTTTGCTCATTTTAAATTTGGGTGGTTTTGAACTTAGAAAATTAATGTCGAATAATATTGAAGTTGTAAAGGAACAACCATCTTCTGAAACACTATTATTTTTTGATCAGTCATTAGAAACTAAAACTCTGGGTCTTACTTGGGATTCTAGGTCTGACACGTTTAAATATAGTATTTGCTCAAATAATGACACTAGTTTTACAAAGAGAACAATCCTCTCAACTATCGCTAAAATTTTTTGATCCTCTTGGTTTAATTGCTCCAATCATTATTGTTGCTAAAATATTAATACAAAGGCTTTGGCAGTCAAAGATCGATTGGGATGAGTCTATACCCTTGGATATCTATAGAAGCTGGATTAATTTCAGATCACATTTAATAGACATCAATAATATTAACATACCTCGTTAGCATATTATCAACTAATACACTCACTACTGAGTTACATTTGTTTTCTGATGCAAGTGAACAGGCATATGGGGCATGCATATTCATTAGAACCATAGATACAGATAATAGTATCACAGTAAATTTGCTTTGTGCTAAAACTCGTGTGAGTCCGTTAAAAATTATTACAATGCCTCGGTTAGAATTATGTGCAGCTCTTCTAGGGGCTCAACTTCTGAACAAGGTAAAAGATAGTTTAGATATCAAGGTCGATAGATACTTCTGTTGGTGTGATTCACAAATTGTTTTATCCTGGATTTTATCACCGTCACATCACTGGAAAATGTTGCTGGAAATCATTGTGTCTCAGATCCAAACTCTCACTAGTAGTGATGCATGGTTTTATATAAATTCTAAGGAGAATCCCGCCGACCTTCTCTCTAGAGGTGTTACACCTGGATATTTGATAAATAATCAATTATGGTGGAAAGGTCCTACTTGGCTTTCAGCATCTAAGGAAAAATGGCCTACGTATTCTCCCACTGATGAGAGTGTATGAGACATAGATGTTTCAAATGAACGAAAACAGTTAAACCATTATCATTCACAGTAACCACTAATGAAAACAATTTCGATTTATTAACAAAATTTTCATCCTTCACAAAATTACAACGTGTAACCGCTTACTGTATAAGATTTTCTATAAATTGCAAAATCCTGATATAAAAGAACTGGTTCATTAGACACAAAGAATTAACAAATGCTTTAAATATTCTTATTCGTTTAATACCACAAAACGATGTTTTGCCAAGGAATTTTCCACATTAAACAATTCAAAAATCTGTAAATAATAAAAGCAAATTAATAAAATTACATCCTTTTTATAGATCATTGATAATATAATTAGAGTAGGCGGCAGACTTAGACACTCTAATTATAATTATGATAAAAATTTCCTATTATTCTTCCCGGAAAACATTACTTCTCCAAACTTCTTGTAGAATATGAACATAAGAGGTTACTTCATGCAGGGCCTCAACTTTTACTTTCTTCCATACGTGAGAAGTTTTGGATTCTTTCAGGAAGAAATTTAGTTAGACAAGTTGTAAGAAATTGCACTGTGTGTTACAGATGTAATCCGGTCCCTTCAGAACACCTAATGGGTGATTTACCATCCTATCGAATTAGTCAGTGTAGACCGTTCTTTAATGTTGGTGTTGACTTTTGTGGTCCATTTATGTTAAAAGATGAGTGCACACGAAATTATAAAATAATAATAAATCTTACGTTTTGTATATTTATTTGTTTATCAACCAAAGCTATTCATATTGAATTAGTCACCAGTTTGTCAACAAGTGCTTTTATTTCAACACTTAGACGTTTCTTTGCTCGTAGAGGTATTAGTGGTAATATTTATTCAGATCATGGAACTAATTTTGTTGGCACCAAAAATGAATTTGATAAATTTCTTAAAAATTCTAAAAATAAAATTCAAACTGAACTAAGTTTAAATAATGTAAAATGGCACTTCATACCTCCAAGGGCACCCCACTTTGAGGATTATGGGAGAGCAGGAGTAAAATCCGCTAAGTTTCATATAAAAGGGTTATGAAAGATGTACCACTGACATTATGAGGGAATTCTTAACCATTTTAACTCAAATTGAAACCTGTTTGAATTCCCGACCTTTATATCCTTTAACTAACGATCCTTCCGATATTCAACCATTAACACCTCCCATTTTCTGGATCGGAGAAAGGATTACGACCATACCAGAAGATGACTACACTACAATCCCAAACTGTCGTTTGTCCAGATTTCACATGCTGCAAAAAAATAATTCAGCATTTTTTGGAAAAGATGGTCGAAGGAATTTATCTCAGAGTTACAACAACGCTCTAAATGGCAACGAAATTATTCTCAATTGCTCAAGCCTGGTGTCATTGTTTTAATTAAAGAAGACAATATTCCTCCTTTGAAATGGAGTTTGGGTATTGTTGAAGAAATCCATCCTGGATCGGACGGCGTAGTTAGGACAGCCACTGTCAGAACTTCAGTAAACACTGTGAAGAGACCTGCTGTCAAGTTGTGTGTACTACCAAGTGAAGATTTACAATTATAATTATTGAAGCCACGCTGACTTCAAGGGGGGCGGCATGTTCGGTCTTTTTTGTTATTTGAATATGGCGCGAACAACGACAGCGCCTCTGTCGCCAAGAAGTGAAAAGAGGGCGTACGTGACCAGCACCGAAGAAGAGTCAGCTGTTGACGACCGTCTAGATATATCGTATCGTATCTTAATTGTTAGAACTTTGTATTTTACAATAAATAAAGTCATTATTAAAAATTCACACCATCTTAAAATATTTGTTGCAAATTGTACTCGGCAACACAATCGTCTACAACTACATATACTTTTTTTGACAGGAAAGAGTATTTGGCTAGGCCAAATTTAAAAGTTTTGTTTTAACTACGGTTTATTTTTCTATTTTTACACTAAGATTTTGTACTTAAACATTTATTTACATTCCTTTTTAGCATCTGCTAGCATATACTATGTACAAACTTTATATAGTATAGCTTCAATTTTTAGATAAATATTATAAAATCAACAAAGTAAATTTACTTTTGCAGATAAAGTCTTAACAACTTATATTTATTGATAAACATTTATTATTTTAATAAAATTTTATATCAGAACATTTTAAATTTAGTACGTAGTATATAAATTTTGCTCTCTTTTTAGAAAATTTTTATCAAATAAATATTATATTAAATTTGATTTTTTAGGTTTCAAAATCCCATCCGTCGAGAAGCTTAGGTGAAGTTTCTGAACAGGAGAAACTGGCAAGCTACATCAGGTAGTGTTCTATGCTCGAAACATTTTTCTGATAACTGTTTTGACAGAACATCTCAATAAAATATCTCAAATAAATAATCATTTCCTAAGATTTCTAAATTTTAATGATTATCAAAATGTTAATTATGGTAAATCAGTAATCATGTTTAATTATTTTCCGCTTTTTTTCTAATTTTTTTTAAAAATGTTAAGGTTATTATTGTTAGATACATCAATAAAAACAAGGCAATTAGTTTAAGACATACTAGCAACAAAATAGTGTTATTTAGTGAGCAATAAAATTTAATTTATTTAATGTGTATTATTTTTTTGTGTTTTCTCCTTAAATATACATAGTATATAGTCATTAAAACTAATCTTGTAATTTATATTTTTGAAAAAATTGTAGGTTTTGTAGTTATTTTGATTAATTAATTTTTTATTTAAAAAAGTTGAGGTCGTTATATTGTGTAAAATAACATTTTTCAAAGAAGTTTCTGTAATCCGGCCCTGCTAATGCCGCCATATTGGTGCTGGCTTAAGCCACGCCTAGTGTTACCATTTTTCGCAAGCACTTTAAATGCTCATAGCGTCTCCCTGTATATAACCTCATTGAGTCTCATATTAGTCTAGTTATCCGATCGATAATCCAGGCTTACGCACTACGCTTGAGCAGAGCTAACTGAGCGACATATGCAAATTTCTTCAGAACATTTATATACCCATTTCACCGGCTTGGCTTAACAGAATGCAGTTTGGAATCAATATGGTTACTTTATAAATATATGATAAACTCACTTGTGGTCGCTTCTGTATGGTTAGGTAATTCTGTAGCTAAATGCGTACAAAAATATATTTACCTTTGCCAATCCCTTACATAACTTCTCTCGACCATTCTTTCTAAAGTTTTTGCATCTGTGGGTGTTGGAGTGATCGGAAGAGGATTACTTTCAAAATCATCAATAGAGATATCGTCGTCATTATTAAAATCTTCCAGAGGTAAAGTCATTCTGCCAGGCGACGTCAAATATTTGTTTGAATTGTTTAACGTTACCTAAAAAGAAATTAACTGTACTTAACAAGATAAAAATAAGCATTAACCCTACATTGGGTAAAACATATTTCTGTCTTTTTGAAGACGATTTTTGTTTAAAGCCGGCCTTTCTTGCGGTTTTTAGAAGGGTCTTCTTTGCAAAACCCTTCAGAGTTGCATTTTTCTCTTTATTTTTATGCAGTGGAGTTTCACTCACTGTAACCTGTCCAGCAAAAGCAAAGTAATGCCAGAAACTCGGCGGATGTCTAATTTTATGAATTAATTTCCTAAGGTTATCGATATTTTCGGCTGTTACTTCTTCGTCAAAAGCTAGTTTCATCAGTTGGAATGTACAAGATCTAAAGATTATTTAATTACAAATTATTCAATATAGTAGTCAATTTTTATTTACCTTAATTGTAGACCTTCTTGTAACCATTGGTCCAAATGAGCCAGATATTGCACAGCTACTTTCTTTTCTTTTGTTAGAGATGTTACAGGAAAAGAACGTACAATTACTTGTTCACAGGCTAAAAGATTGGGTTACTTTTACTTATGTACAAAAAAATAATACCAGAAATGTTATATTAAATAAATGTACATTTGAACTACCACAGTTTAAAGGTTTAAGATTTAAAATTTTAGATTTGTAACAAAAAAAGTAGCACAGTATAAAGAGCTTAGATTTTTCACATAAAATCAGTATAATATCTAGTATTTTTTTTATAAAGTAGTAGTAGCATAGTATAGAAATTTAATATTTTAGATATATAAAGTTTAAAATATTTAGCTATAAGATCTAGTTCCACCCTTAGTTCTAAGATCTTAGAATTATAACAAAGTAGCAGTTCACATTAGTATAGAGACTAATAGTTTGATAGAAGTTCTAAATTATTTAGATATAAGATCTCTTAAATCTTATAAAAAAAGGGTAGTGCAGTATAAAGATCTAATATTTTAGATAAAGGATCTAAAAAAAGGATTAAAAAATTAATTAGTATTACAATATAATAAAGATCTAAGACTTTAGATACTCATTTGATTTAAAATTTGAGACGTAAACCTTTACATACTGATACAGTAGTATTTTTTGCAGCAACGACACTCACCAAAAGAATCACAGGGTGTTCCCTTAAAAATAATCCTGTAATTAGTCAGGAAAATAGCACCTTCTGCTGGCAGTAATGGCGGAGCACCAAGCAACCCTGGAACACTTTCTTCCCTAAAAACGATACAAAATTACATGTTTATATAAACTATTGAAGAAATAACTAATTTACCTTCCATCTGGTAAAAGATAAACCCGTAATCCACCGTCCATTATTAGCCCTTCTCCATTGAGTAAATTCGGAGTAAGGATTTTTGGTTTTTGAATGGGAGGACGTCTCTTAGACTCCCTAAAGAAAAAAATAGACATTCAATTATTTCAGTATTTCAGTATTTTACTTACAACATGCAAATTAATGTTGATTTTTTAAATTTTATTTAAATTTACCTGTAAACACCTTCCAATGTCTCAATGTGCATATGAACTACTCCAGGTATCATTTGATGCAAGTTTCTAATATGGTCTCTAGTTACACCTCCTATAATTCAATTAAAAAATAATATATATACTGCATAAGGAAACAGATTAGACTGACCTTCGTTGCAAACTCTATCAATAAATCTAGAAACTATGCGTATGACGGTACTTCCTGTTTCGCTAGGATCTTGATCTTCAAATCCTGATTCGGCATCGACACTATCGCTTTCTGCAACACTATAAATAACACTAAAATAACGTAATTTTTAAGTTTTTATGCAGAAAATAAAATTAAAAGTACATTTGAACTACCAAAAGTAAAAGATATATTTTATATATATTTCCAGAAACTACTGCTAAGTTAAGGAATTATTTCTGAGATTTTGGAAATGACATGGCTATTTCGAAAAATTATACCTGTTGGCTATACTATTACTGGCTCTTTCGTCATCTAAATTCTCATGTTTGTTCGTTTTGTTTCCAACATCCAGAGGAATTAACAAATAAACCATCCTGTTGGCATAGTGTATCGCCTGACTGTACATCGTGTTCTCCTCACAAGTAATCAACTCCTTCTGTTTCTCTTGATCTATAGAGTTCCATAACCTAAAACCATAAAAATATCTCACAAATCTCTTCTTAATTTGATTTAATACAAGCAAACCTCATCTGTTCTGCTGCGATTTCCAAAGCAGAGGTTTCCTGCATTCTTGATAAAACAGATCTTCTGTGCCAAGTTAGATCTTTGTCTCTTGGAGATAGAGGGCTGAGATGTTCGTTTGTTACAAGACTTTCCACTCTGGACGTGTATAAAGCTTTAAGTTCCTTCTGTACATCCTAGAAAATAAAAAAATTACAATTTGAAAAAATAAATTCTCTAGAATTTTTCTAATAGGCACAAATAAATGAATTGCTGATTTCAGTAGTTCAGTTTTAAATAACGCTTAAAAATGTTTGCAATTTATTATTGTAACAATATAAACTTATTAAAAGAAAACAAAAAAATAAGATAATAATCCCAACAAAGTATAAAATCTCTTTTACTATAATATAAATCTTACTTGGTAGAAAGCAGCTTCCCAAAATTGCTGGTTTTGCCATACCGCATGTTCTTGTATGCACGTATAGGCAAACTGGATAATGCCAGTGCATAATTTTCGACAGAAAATGGTGGCTAAGGGCAGAAGGGCGTATGCTACACCGTATTCGTCCATGGAACTATCGTCCTGTAGGGCACAGTTCATCAGACGTACCACCAAGTCAAACTGTTGATCTGTAGATCAAAATAAATATATTAAGAAAATAAATGATATGTTTATTAGATTTTTGTACCTTCCAGCATAGCTTTGGTGCCACTGACTTGCTGAGATAGTTCATTACAAAGCGCTAAACGTGCTTGTTTGGATTGCAACGCTCTTAAGACTGCAGGAAACGTTTTTCTAGCATCGGATATTTTATTTTCGAATATACAATTAACGCAATTGCGAAGAACCTACAGAATAATACCCTTTTTACACATACATATAAAGAATTAGATGTACAGTAGAAAATATTTCAAATATCTAATAAAAACCAAATGTGTTTTTGTTAATACATACTTCTAATCTTCGCGCTGAATTGCTGACGATATTTTTGTTGTCCCGCAGATTCGAAATGTGAGGTCCCATCGGTACTATCCTCGGTTGGATTGGTCTGAGGGAGGATAGCCTGAAGATACATTTAAAGAATATGACAAACATAGAAACAGCAACACAAACATAGACACAATTTAAGTCAACAGCGTATACAGAATAATTGTATTCTACGAACATAAATAATTATAATCCCGTGTTTTAGCATTTTTAATCATTTTAGCCTACATGAGGCCCAGTCTTTCCAGATAAAAGATGATAATTTTCCAACATAATTCTATTGTTTCAGAGACCATACTCACATTTAGTTACATACTGTATTATAGGCACAAAAATTAGTACAATATACATACAGTGCGTGCGAAAAAGCTATAAACAAATAAAAAATAATAATTTAAATATTTCCCCGATATAATTGTTGGGAATTTCTGGTACACCCTGTATCAAAGCAAAAAATCGAAAATGTAGACATCAAATCAACCTAAAGCTCCATCTGTACATAAAGATTTACTTGTCAGTCTTATCTGTTCAGCCAAAATGTATCAAGTAAAACCTTGGGTGTAGAAGAAAAAAAGATCTGTTTTCCTTGAACTGAATTCTCTATATCTAGATGATCGTCCGTTTTGTCTGACACGCAAAACCGGCAGGAAAAACTTTATGTGTAGACGGGCCTTAAGTATACTTATAGATACCACGATAATTACATTAAAAAATATTAGTGGACAACATAAGAAAAAATAAGCCAAATGTTTTCAACAAATAAATTATAAACAATAAGTAACAGACCATTTATTTACATTTACACATTATATACTTTACATAAAACTTACCAACTGAGATCATCACTACATAAGGTTAAATCAAAAATAATTTTGATTAGTTAAAAATCAAACAACTTCTAATTCAAAATGTTAAAAAAAAGTTGAACTTACCTAGATTTTAAGTCGTTTTTGGACATGCCCTCATTGATTATTGCTTGAACCAAGACGACATTAATGCTAGGCAAAGGAGGCTGATGGATTCTGGCAAAAGCGCCCTCTGGAGGTACTGGGATCTGTAAAATATACCTTCAGTTAAAGAGAGTAGGTATAAAAGCTAAAATTTTACCTTTTGTGCATATGATTGGGGGTTGGGAATTTCATTGGTATATAACTGGGCTGCCAGCTCTTGTATATGCATTAAAATCAATCTTGGTTCCTGAAAATTGTATGATTTCTTTTTTCATAAAATAATGTTATGAAATAGGAATATTTCCACCAACAGACAACTTAATATATACAATATTTTATTGTCTAAAACTAAATAGACTTCTTATTAACATTAATTACTTGCTAACTTAAGAAACAAGACATATGTTGTTATAGAAATATGTAATAATATTAAACAAATGGTAGTATTTATTTCAATAACCTTATATTACTATTAAATATTAAATACTTTCTTAACTTCAAAGACAAAGCATATGTTGTTACATAGAATACCAAACAAGGTGTAAATAAATAGGTGAAAATCAGGTAATGGCATTTTTAAAAATTATGATAATTTTCTTTTTGTATAAGGTATAAAATTGACATAAGTTGTACTATCATTTGTACTATATCTGGTTTTAAAAAATGTTTTATTATTATTTAAAGAAATAAGACCTACCTGATGCTCTTTTTTAATCAGATCATTTATGGAACTGTATAATTCGTCCCAGACATCACAAGGACGCCACGATGGACCTCTTTCCGACACAAAACTAGTAAAAAACATACAATCCAACACTCTAGTAGTAAAATCACATTCCCTTAAATTTTTTTCACCTAAAATTTTAGCTTTTTATAGAATAAAAATTTTCTATTTGTTAAATATCTTGCCTAAAAACGCCGCCTTATGAAAGGTAATTACTGGTTTGGGATGTATACGAATCAAAGTTAAACAACTTCTATAACTGCAACGTGATGAAAATATTATATATTGGAAACAAATAATGTTCTACTAAATCTAACCCTTGAAGAAGTTGAGCAAAAGTCCTCATAAAAACAGCTCTAATCTCCTTATCAAGCATTAGAGCTTGTGGAGCTCTCACAGCTAGTGGTGGAAACGCATGGTCGGCGCACATAAGCTCAGGTTGTAAAATCAGACTTAAAGCTTCTTGAGTGTTACTTAAAAGAGGTTCAGATAAAAGAGGTACCGATATACCATCTGGAATTATAATTGACCCACCATCCAGATCAGCTACAATAACATCCATCTGAAAAATACACTATATTAATTACTCACCTAATTTTCATATGATTATAATACCTGTTCGGCTACTTCATTTCTTAAAGATGAGTGAACACCCATTATAAATGGAGTGGGTGTAGATAAGACTTCTACTAAAGCAGCAGGAAGCAATGGTATATAAACATGGGTGTACCTAAAGGGGTACATTAGAGCTGTTAATGCTCTACAAGCTTCAGTTAACCTTAAATTGAAACAAGTTAATAATCTTTAAACTGTGAAAAAAATTGATACTTACCTATTATAGCTTTTCGAATGGAAGAGTATCTTGTGTTCTGTCATTATGGCACAAAATAACACTAAAACATTTCTTATACCTAATTGCTGAAATAACAAATTAACAGAAGAGTGTGTTACTGGTAAGGAAGGAGACAAGGGTGGTTGTAAAGCTTGTCTGTCTCCAGCACCAATACTAGAATATAATAAAATAAATACATATATCTACTCCATAAATATAATTGATGCTATACCTAAACCGTACTTGAGGTCCACCAGGAGGAGGTACTTGTATACAGCCTAATATATTGCCTACTAAAGTTTCTAGAGGCACAGGTATATTTTCTATGTACACACAATATATTATGCCAAGACAATTCTAAAAAAGAACTAATAATCATGTAGTTTAAAAATATATTAAAATTCACATACTCTAAACGTTTCTATATAATCCAACCTAGAAACAAGTACTAAACATTTAGGTGCATACATAATGCTACTATGAGATATTGTTGGAAGTATAGGCTTCAGAAGATTTGAGTCTCCATCAACTGCATCCTCTTCCTATAAGTAATATTAAAACAGGATTTTTTTTCAACTCATAATAATACTCACTTCATCAACAGGTTTACTAGGAGTTATTGAAACAGTTTCATTAAAACAGAGACAAGCACAGTAGTGGCGGTTTGCGTCTATATCTGTAAGAACGGATACGAAGAACCTTGGTTCTTGTCTTTCTGTTGATAAAGTCCATCCTTGCGGCTGACAAAACTATACACAAAAAATTATCAACAAAACATCTATGTTATTACTTAAAATATAATCTACCCATTCTATTCCATCTATAAATGGTGTATCTGGCCAGTCTTTCTCTGGAAATCGTTGCAGTATTATTCCACTTCCTGAAAACAATTTATTATCAGTTTCATATCAAAGTATGTAATGTTAACACATACTTTCTTTTTCATTATCATACCCTACAATGACGAAATAATCGGCTAGTCTGGACATTTTTTATTTACGTATTTTAAGCCTTAACGAGGTTCTTTCCTTAAATCTCATTTTTATTTGAAACCAATACAGTCCAACTTGAAAAATTATTTCGCTAGTTCAAATTAAGGCTTGTATGATCTGTCACAGTTTTTAACTGAAGTTGGTTTCCTTTATTTAATTTTAATATATAACAGTTAAACTCATAACTTTAGTATTTGTTTATATTAATTAAATAGCCACACCCACAAATTATTTGTAATTTCTAAACAAAAATCTTTACGCCATTTTTACACGAAACGAACAACTTTAAACTAATTTTGACATTTTGACGTTGATAGATTTCGTGACATTTACAATGTTGCCAAAAATTTTAAAAATTAATAGAGACACTTTGTCAGCCACTATACCGTTTGTCGTCATCCGCTAAAAAGACCGTAAAACTTTTATATATGATTTTATATTTTATTGGAACTATATAAATAATAAATAAAGGCGGGCATTCGCTAGCATTCAAATCAGAATTCAAATAATATAGGATCAAATCAGATGAATTTTGTATAATAGAAGCAGTAAACAGAGCAGTAAATAAACAAATTAATTTTTTCTACTGTCTCGAAATATGTAAAGTAGTTTTTTGTAAATTTTATTTATGGAAAGTCGGTTTATTTTTGCGTAGTGAACTTTTTGTCGTTTCACTGAAGAATTGTTTTTTCTCTCGTTTATGAGAATCTGTTTTTTTACTTAAATAGTATAAAAACAGTTTCAAGACATTTGTCTACTTATTGAAAGGAGGGGAATAAAATTTTGCTTTTTCTTTCATAGCAATGTAAGTTAAAACCTTAAAACATATTCCTAGATACTTATCTGAGTTATTGTTGTTTGTCTTTATAGTTGATATAGGTTGTAACTGTGGACATATAATTTGCTTGTGATTTTCTTTATTAAAAATAATTTATACGTAAAATTACACATCATAATATTAATTTATACCCATAATTAAGAATAATTTTGATATAATTAGACGACCGACTAACATTCATCTAACGCCTCATCATGGAAGAAGCGGAAAAAGCAAGTGGTAAGTTCAAATTTAAAATTAAATTTGAATACAAAAATAATTTTAATTTTAATTGATATGTTGTACTGGTTGAATAACTCTTCAGACTCAAATTTATCAGTATTCCTGAAAATAACAAGATGACCATATTTTTAAAATGATACAGAAAATAGAAAGAACAATAAATGAATTTAATTAAATTAATTTTTTAAATAAAATCTAGCTAGCTTTATTATAATATGAAGTAACATATAATCGGTTTCATTCTTGTTCAATATAAAAAAGAAAGTATTTCTTGTTTTGTACTGAACACTGTTCTTTTTTATAAGCAAAACTTGTAAAAACCTATGTTAATCTGTGTACGAATCTTTGGTACGAATAATCTGGAATAATCATTTAACTGTGTATCTAGATTTCACAAAATGAAAAGGCAAAAATCAGGCAAAAATATTGACAAACCCAATTTTTTTTATTTTAATTAGAAAAAGACGAAGACAACAATATCCTGTCTCCGTGCCTGTCTCTCTCGGGTTTCTTTGTTAGGAAATGAGAGAGGTTGTTGTTTTTCTATCCAATCAGCTGATATATGTTGTGCTTAGATGACAGTTGCTGGCGAGTGATTGCTGTGGAACATAAATGTTTATTTTTAAAAATAACACTGTATAATTATTTCTTGAGTTTTTTCGCGTAATACGGGTAGATCTATAGGGCATATTTTAATTAACTCAATTATTCGCGCAACACAATCACAGCAGGTTTCTTCTTGATCGTACAAATGTCGATGTTTCTTTTGTGTAGCGAAATGACGCAGTTATATATTCAGTGATTTTTCTCTAATAGATCGCATAATTTAAGTAAGTATTATTGTATAACGTTCAGCTAATGGTCTTTAATTAAACGATGGTATAATGGATATGTTAGTGGAATACTGTCCTTGAAATATTCAAGATCACTCTGATCTATTTGTTTTGGTTCCACACCCTTTGTGTTTGTTGCCAAACAAATTCTAAATTTTTCTGTTTCAAGGTTTTCGTGCCTTTCCAAACATTTTTGGGTCTTTTTTTATCTAAAATTGGCTATTTGTATATACAGTATTGATAATTATATTATTTGTTTATTACTGGATATTTTTGTGATAAAATAAAGTGATAAAATACATTTAAAGCTTATATAATATAACATTTTACCTTAAGTCTTACCTGTTCAGGTAAAATGTATCAAGTAAAACATTGTCTGTAGACAAAAATACGAACTGTTTTACTTGAACTGAACTAAGATGGAAAATGTGTGATCTAACAGGATCATTTAGTTTTACAACAAAACCGTCGTTTTGGTTACACTGATAAAAGTAAATTTACAACAAATAATACACTCACCAGCACGAAAAACGGACGCCTTAGAATTTTCATGTATTTTAGTTTTATATAGTGTGTTCTAGTGGACCGATTTTGATGATTTTTTAAGCAATTTGTAGCTAAATTATTTGACTTTTAAGTATCTCTGTCTTCAAATTAAAAATGAAAGTTCCCATCTGTTAATTATACGAGGAAAAACAAAATGTTGATATTTTGGGGAAAGTTTGGAACACCCTGTGGAGTACGTTAACAATGCAAAAAAAGGTAACACTTATTTTAGCATCTAGCTGTATCTTTTCTCAATAGTTTGTTTTTTCACTCATCTCAATAACTGCATTTCCTTTGGAGATATTCACTTTTGAAGTCAACACTAACATTTTTTGTATTTTTTACATTAAAACCATGCCTTTGCCTTTGGTCCTAGTCAACAAACCTATAAAATAGTTTTTATGATTTATGTAATGTCACTGTCTGAAAAATCATATTAGTATTGTCTGTTTTCAAATTCAAATTCATTATTGGTGTTGCATACAATAGTATTTACACAGGTCACATTACACATGGTGATAAAAAAAGAAAAAATCAAGCTTAAAAACATAAATAAGTTACTAGTACTAAGTTAAAAATAATTGTATATAGACATTAAAACATTAAAACACTAAATAGAATAATGGCATCAACAATTAACCTAAAAACACTAAAATCTAATATTTAAAAATTCCTGGAAGGAATAACAGGAATACCGCATCAGCAGGCCCTTAACCTCAGTCTTAAACCGCAAGAGGGGCATGTCTGCAATTTCCTTGGGTAATTTATTATAAAATTTAACTGGCCAGGTACCCAGGTCCATCTTAGCACGTAGTCAATCGGTGGTAGATTGGCACAAGTCTATCCCTACCCCTTGTCTCATGGTGATGGACTTCTCCATGGACCCTATAAAGGTCTGGGTTCTTTTTTACATAAAGGAGATTTTCCATTATATACACTGACGGGACAGTCAACACACCCACAGCCCTGAATGCCTCTCCACAGTCGGCCCGATATACAAGCCCAGCGAAGACTCGCACAGCCGCCCTTTGCAAGCCGAAGATCCTCTTAGTTGGGCTGTATGTCCCCAGGCTAGAATAGCATAGGACAAAATTTGCAGTTACTCTAGCAGATATCGGTTTAAGTCCAAAAGTTGATCTCTACAATGATCAATTAAAGCAGTAACTCTACTCATACTCTACTAGAGTAAACGCCAATAAACAATAATACATAGATAAATGAAACAAGTTTAGATTGGAAAGTGCCCATAAGGACAATGTAAACACTATTTGGCGCTATTTTTGCAACGGTCGCGACCCAAAACTTTTGAAAATTATATCGCCAAATATTGTTTATTCAAATTTATTATTATTTTCCTTTAATTTTATAAGTAAAAGACAGTGTGTTGCATACAAGAAACTTTATTTTATATAAGGACGCATGTATGAAATCACAACCAAACCTATGAAACATTGGAAACCGACGTTATGCCACGATTCACTATGGTTTTTGCAGTTCACAGTTCACAGCACAGCTTTTTAAGTTTTTAATGCCACTTTTTCACAATTATCACCGGTTGGAGTAAATAAAACTTGAATTAAACTCACAAGATAGCAATTATTACTTTGTAAATGGACGCTATAAACACTTTTCGGAATTTCTTTAATGAGAGCGGTTTAGATTTTGAAAGATTATTATGATTTTTGAAGATTCTGACTTTGACAAGAGAAAATTATTTCTGTTTTTGTTTGCCGTTGTTCTTAGCGACCGCTATAGCAGCGCCAGATCGCGTATAACGGTCGCGACCCAAAATAATTTCGCGACCCAAAATTTTTACGGGCTTTCCAATCTAAACTTGTTGCATTTATCTATGCAATAATAATATGACTTTTCAATGACAGTGACATTACAAAAACAGTAAACACTATTGATAAGGACCTTAGATTAAGAATAAAAAATAAGGACACAAATCAGTGCTAAAATTCTGGAATGTCTAATTTAAAAGCGAATATCTCCAATAAAAATAAAGATATTGAGATGAATCAAAAATCTATCGAGAAAAGATGTACCTAGATGATAAAATTATTTTTAAATTCCTTGCATTGCTAACATATTCCACAGGGTGATTCAAACTTTCACCAAAATATCAACATTTTGATTTCTCTCGTATAATTGACAGAAGGCAACTTCATTTTTAATTTAGAAAGAGACACTGAAATGCCTAATAATTTAGGTACAAATTGTTTAAAAATTCATCAAAATCGGCCCACTAGAACAAAATATATTAAATTTTAAATTAAAATACATCAAAATTTTAAGCCTTTTTGCCCCTTTTTCGTGCCAGTGAGTGTATTACAGCATCTTTTAATAGATGACTTTTAAAATATATTTTTGCATAGTTTCACAAAATACTGGAATTTTACAAAATTATTTAGAGGAATTTAATGATCAATACTAAAGGATATTATTTATACAACTAGATTTGCTTCAAAATTTACTAAACTCAATGCTATAAATACAAAAACTTCTAGTGTGTAATCCGTTTTACCTAATAGGTAAAATGTGATGTTTAGGCTGGGCTTTATTAAATTTTCTTTTTAGATAGTGAAATGTCGGCCGATTCCCCAAGTCATACGCGCCAGGAATCAGCGTCATCAATGCATAGTACTGTGTATCCGCAGCCAGTCACAGATCCAACAATTTTAGATAGTGTGGCTGGTAAATTTTCAAGTATTATTTCATGTAAATATATTAAGGGTTCTTACTATTTGTTTAAGGCTTTATCAATGACGTTGTACCAGCAACTGGTACCGATACCTTTGACGTAAAAGACCAAATCCAATGGGCCCAGTTTGAAAACCTGGATTTTGATGAATCAAATTTTTCCCTTAATACAGAAACTCCAATTCCTTCAAGTTTAACATTAGTTTTAGGTTATACAACAGGGGTTCAGGTACAAATCATTAATTTTTTAGTTTTGGAATTTTTAGTACTACCTAAAATTATATTTAAAGGTATGGACTATACCGCCCAACGGAGAGGCAATGGAACTGTTCTCTTGGCGCCACGGGTCAGTTAAGGTGCTGAGGATCCTACCCACACCCTTTGCAGTAGACTGCAGTAAGAGGGATATTTTTGAGGCAAAGAGACCATTACTAGCTCTGGTTGATGTAGCCAGTCATAGCTCACCGACGGGTTCGTTAAATTTTTATTCTATAAGGACAGGAGAACAGGTTAAGCAAATTAAATTCAAAAATCAAATTTTGGACGTGTTGGCAAATCGGCGATCAATCATAATTTCCTTCCCCGAGAAAATTGCCATTTTTGATGCTTTTACCTTGGAAGACAAGCACACAGTTACCGGATGCTATTTGAGTCCGGGAATCCAGCAGAATCCTGTGGCTTTGGGTTCTAGATGGTTGGCGTTTGGGGACAAGAAACTAGTTGCTTCTAGAAGAAGTAGCGGTGGAAATGAGGGGGAAGGCGTTCAGGTGAGTTTCAATTTTAGGAATTCTCATATTTTTTATATTGTTATGGATTTCGTGGATCCACTAATTTAAACTCATATTTTAATATTAAATTTATGTGTCTGATAAACTCGTATATAATATTGCTTTAACTAGAAAAATAACTCTTTTTCTTGATAATTGTTATGTAATATCTACTGTCTTTCGTTTGAAATATAATGAAACATGAGTTTTTGGTAATGTAACAGATCAAAGGTATAGGTAACAGATCAAAGGAAATAAAAGTTGTCCGACCACTGGTCAACGCTTAATTTAATATATTTGAAAGGTCAGACACTAGCCCGAGATTTATGAGGTTTTGGTTATTTTCAAGCATGAAGCCTTATGTAAAAGGGAGTTTTCTTCAGTACGATAAAGGTGCATTAGAAAAAACAGTCTAAACTGTCCGAGAAGAGGGAAAATCGCGAAAAACATGCATTGTTACGGATTCCGTGGGTCCATTAATTTAAACTCACGATAAAATACTTAACGAGTTTATTTTCTCACTATATACACAATTTATACTGATTACAACACATAACTTATGCAACTACTATTACTCTAACTTTTCTGCCACCTTCGCTAATTAATTCACTATTTGCTATTCAAAAACTGGCTGTATTACAAAACTAAACTAAACTGCTGAGCGCGGTTTCGCTTATATATCTCCAAGTGGCTGCTTCTCGAACGTTCGAAAATTATCTGTAACGTTTGGTTAAAGTAATTTCCACTGATTGGGAAGAAGAGAAAAAAATATATTACCATTGCTGATGAGTATTTTTATTTATTCTGATTATAGTTCATAGGCTTGGTGTGTTTCTGTTGATTTTAAAAATTTTGGACAGCAGCGCCCCATATGGCAGAAATCAGAACATTCCCGCTCTGTATTTCACGCAGTTCCATTTACCGTTCTTGTTGATCGCCATTGAAATAATATTAAAATACTGGCTTTGTCATATATTTAAGTATATTAGTTTTAGTCACATAAACCTTGGTTTACGTTATTTATTAAGTTTTTATTAACAAAGCCAGGTAATTTAAATCCATTATAAGTATATTTAAATAAACATTGCAACAAGTTTATTGTTTACTCTATTCGACGTACGACAATTTATGATTATTTCCAAAACTAATCTAATCTATCAAAATTTGTGTTGTGTGAAATTATTTATATTTACATTATAAAACCTTTATTAACTTTATATTTTTTATGTTCTGAGTACGTTGAACGTTTTGTTGCTGTTATCGTATTTTGAACCTTATATCAACAAGTATGTTTTATTTTTTATATATCTAAAACACTGATTTTTGTATAATTATTATACTTAATGGGTTATTAAACTAGATATGAGTACGAGTTCAAATACTTAATGAAAACTAAGGTTAAAGCTGAAAACAAATACTATGTATGATTTGTATTTACAAATTAATTTTAATATCGAAATATTTTCTAATTAAATATTTTAGCTATATTTTATTGTTGAGGCGTCAAGTTGCAAAACTCGCCTTAAGCCGGTCCTACACGAGGCGTCCAACGTTGGAACCAACTTTGGACGCCTGTAACCAACATTTGACACAGTTTTCGACAATGTTATACATTATACATAATTGGCAAGTGTGTCTCCCACACGATATGGCAAATGTCCATGTGTCCAACGTTGGAAGGTTTATATCGTGTGGGACCGGCTTTATACATTTAAAAAAATGGCATGATGACATATATATTAATAGTGGACAATAAATCTACATAAACATAGTTCCAAATTGCAGCAGAAGTAGCCTATCCTATATAAAATTCACTATAAATTATGTTACTGCAGCAAAATCCATCTATATCTTATGTTTTGCTTTTTATTTTCATTATTGTTGCAAATCCGGCATTTTTTTATAGACTTTTTACTTTTTACATAAGTATAATATTACTATACTGACTTCACATTCACAACTTCAAATCTTTACCTAATTTTAATAAAATAGCATATCAAAAAAATCAAGTTAGGATGCAAATATATCTTGCTGTAGCAAAACCCGCAATATGGATTATACTGCAAAAGTTCGCCTTATCCAAATTATTTTTGTGTTTTTTCTCTCTAAAAATTAAATGTTAAATTTTATTTCTAGAAAAAAGGAAATACAAAATAATGATTCCACTTCGTGAACACACTTTTTTGTAAAATAACGCTTCAAACGTTTGTTAAAACAGTTATTGCATATTACCTCGAAACATCATTTTGGGGATAAGACGGGTTTTGCAAATTGACGTTTCATTTATAAGTAGTATTCTTTACCAGAAATTTTTTAAAAGCATATTTTTTTGGTAAGACCTTTTTTGGTTTTACTGAATATAACAAACAAAATTAGTCTCCAAACATTGAAGGTACAGTTCATACCAAACCAATGACTAAAGAATATAAGGACATGTAACGCCCCTATACGGGCTGCAGCAGAATTTGTGACCTTTTTTTTGTTTTGGTGGCAAACAATGAGTCATCATTTGGTCACCAGCGACAATTTTAGCGATTTTTAATAGTTTGTGTGTAGTAAACTTTGTAATAAACTTTATTATAATGGTGATAAGTTGTTCAGCTTTCAAGTGTAAAAGCAGCAGCGATAAGAAAGAGCCAGGAGTTACGTTTCATAGGTAAATAAACAGTCCATTCCAACTTTTTAGCGTTTTCTTATTGAATTCGATAATTATTCTTCAATTTCAATTAATATCTATATGTACTTGATATGTTCTATACGTCGATACTAGTTTTGTACCTTTTGTTAACATTTTAATACGTTTTTTTCGTAATTAATTAGGATGATACACCATAGGCGTAGTCAAAACAATTATCAAAAAATATAAATATTGCTTCAAACAGCTAGGTTAAGAAAAATATGTGCCACGGCACTGTTTGATGGCATCGTCACAATTTGCTCTCGGGTGTTATTTGTCCTTGGATTCTTTAGTCATTGTACCAAACACAGAACACACTAAAGAAGAACGCTAACTCTCATGCATTTTTTAGTTTCAAAACGGTTTCAAATTTGTTTTTGAAAAACATTTTTAAGCTTAAAGTATCACAACACTATTTATTTAAACCAAAAACTCGTAATACAAAACTAAATTGTCAAAACGAATGACAATGGAAAATTAACAGGAAATAAATAAATAAATGCGGCAACTTGACATTTTTTACAGCAGAGCTACCACCTGAATCCCCAGCGCGAAATTTAAATTCTAGTTAGTCAGCCCGGCGCCGAAATATGTCCATGGTTGGCAACAATGAATTTAAAAATAGCGCCCTCGATTACGTAACTAGAAGTTTAATTGATATCAAATATAAGGTCTGTTCCCAGAAGAATTCCTGACTAGTCAGCACGTTTCTCATTGGTTAAAATGCGTAGAAACCTGATTGTTAGTCTGGTTTCTACACATTTCAACCAATAAGAAACGCGCTGACTAGTCAGGGATTCTTCTGGGAACAGGGCCATAGTTGATTTTTACTAAAAAACAACTAATTCCTATTGTGAATTGTGGATGATCTCTCTTTTAGTTTTTTTTAGATAATAATGTAAAACCCCATTTGTTTTGCCTTTATTTAAAACAAAATATGATTTATATAAGAAAAAAATACTCCTAAATATTTTTTTTATTGATAGGTGATAATAATTTTTGATACAATTCTTGAAATTCCTAATTTTTTTATTATAGGAGCTACATATGCCCGACGCACTATTGCCGGGCCCTTTATATTTATAATTTATCTAATTTGCAGAGCTACACGGCAACCGTTTTACACGCTGCTAAATCACTCGGTCGTGGTCTTCGAGAATTAGGTGATGTAGTGGCGTCTAGCCTTACAGGGAATCAGATGAGCAAATTGGGAACTTCCCCCAATAGTCCTCAAGCTGGAGGCTCAAGCGACGTACTTCAAAAAGGCATCGTGACGATTTTAGACGTTGAGGTATTTATGAATTGTTTTTTTTTGTTAATATACAGTGTGGTGACAGTTTAATCAGGGTGCAATGATTTAAATCACCTTGATTTAAATCAACGCATTTTTTTATTTTAATCATGGATTTAAATTAAAAAAAATCAACTTGTTTAAAAACTTATGATAAATCGAAAGATAACTGTAAAAATTAAAATTTTTTTTCCTATAAAGCTATAAAAAGTATTCCTATGTCAAATATTATACCCTACATCTATTCATCAGATAAGTGCAGTTAAGTTACACTTGCTGTTGTAACTTTTAAATACTTTAATAGATCGAAAAATAATTGTAAAATATAAACATATAACACATATCGAGATATCCCTAATATCGATTCATCTATTAAAATGTTAGACCGATTTTTTTGAAGTTATTTCATGTGAATCCATTACACTTCTAAATGGCAGAGATTTATTTTGAAATTGTGAAGTGCCAGAAATCCGGTATTTGAATACATTTCATTCGCAAACTCTAGTGCAGGACTAGTTTCTTTTGATGTCAGGTTATATTTTTATTCCCGAGGACTAATCAATTTCAAAAGATAAGCTGGAGTCAAGGCTGTTTTATACCTTTTGTGAAACAGCTGAATGTTTATGAAGCTAATTTCCGCCTTCCCCAAATTATCTTCTAGTTCATTCCAAAGTTCTACCGACATTTTGTTCTGCAATAAGTACTTTGCACTTTGAATATTAGATGGTACTAATTTTATTCTCGACTTAAGACAGTCATTATCTTCATATTAACATCATATTTCCAAAAAAAATCCCTTTGATCTAAGCGGCCGATTTTTTTGCGTAAATATGGGCATCGGCAAAGTTTACAGAATAAAATATATCGGTGACCGATGTGTAAAAAACGACACCTGCGCCGTAGAAATGTTAATATTGTCAATATCGGGTAGAGTTACAAATATTTAGCCATTTAGGATAGGACTTTAAATAGAAAATTGATTAAAATAAAAAAAATCCGATTAAAATAAAAAAAAACTGATTAAAATTTAAAAAAATCGATTTTTTTGTTTTTTTTTTAAATCATGATTTTTTTGCATCCTGGTTTTAATATTCGATATTAACTTTAATTTTGTATGGCAGAGCCCCACGACACAAAACGCCGATGGATCTTTACACCCAGAGGCTATAGTGGCTCATTTTGTCGCGCACACCGAAGCCATAGTCTGGTTGCAGTTCGGACCTTGCGGCATGCTACTTCTTACGGCCGACAAAAGAGGGCACGATTTTCATCTGTTTAGGATTCAACCTCACCCAATCGGATCGGCTTTGGCAGCCGTCCACCATTTATACACGCTTCACAGAGGTGATTAATTTATTATAAAGTCTTTTTGTACAACCAGCGTTCAATGTTACGTCATCTTTAAGTTAACTAACATCCGTTTTTAGGATGTGTTTGAGAATTCGTATTGTTTAGAAAATTTCAAGTACTTACATTCACTCATCAAATTAGTAATTTAACGTGTTATTAATTTCAATATCATAATATTCATTCATAATATGTTGGTTATCTTTGTCCTTAAAGCTTTATTCAGAACCTCGCAATTAGTGGAATAAAATAGTTGGGTCAATTAGCGTAGAAGTTTGTTCTTTTAATTTCAATGTAAGCATTCAGAACGTCAAAATTAGTGGTAGACATTTTCAATTAGTAGAAAAAGTTATCAAACTTACACAATAGATTTATAAGTTCGCAGTGATTAACTCCCCTTCTTAACATTCAAACTTTTAACTTTTCCACTAATTAAGCTGTACGCACACTGGTTTCACATTAGCGCGATCGAGTTTTGGAGATGAAGCGGCCTGGCGGCGTTCTATTCTGCGGTGGTGATCAGATTCAACTTGTCGAGTTTGATCGCGACCCAACTGATAGGAATTTTCCGTTTTTTGTGTGTTTTTTCTTGTTGCAATTTAGAAATGGAGTTAACAGAGCAGCTAATTAAGGCTGTAAAAATACACAAAATTCTATATGATTTATCCGATCCAAGTTACAAAAATAATAGAACTAAAAATAAAAAGTTTGAGACAAAATTGAAGTTGCAATTGGATTGGATAGTACAAATGTATACATTTTTATTGTTTAAGTTTAAACATTATAGGTAAATATTTAAGAATGATTTTTTTCCGGTATACATAATTCACATTTTTAATTTGTACCTACATATGTATACCTACAGGATGGCGCACTACATATAGGTACGGCCATGAACGTGAACGCGTTCGTGTTGTAAGAGAATGATCGCTCTTGTTATCGCTGCGCTGATCGTGATCGTGATCGCGGCCGTGATCGCACCAGTGTGTGTTTAGCTTTATTCGGGTTCGTTTTTGAGAACCGTCCTAGAATCGTCTCGCACTGCGCAGAACTACTTGCGCAGTGGTTTGAATTCTAGAACTGTTTTTGGACCTTTTGAGGACTATGAACTACTTGATGAAACCCGAACGCTTCGCGAACTATTTTTGGACGAAAGTGAAAGTGACAGAAGCGACTTAACCTCACTATTGAAATGTAAGAGATGTCCTTAAAATTTGTTTGTTTATTACAAAAAGCAACACTTGAGCACCCAAATGGAAGATTACACTTATAATAATATATAATACTATCGTATACCAGCGACTTCGTTCGCGTCGAATTAATCATTTGTAATGGTGATGATAAAGCAAAGCAAGAATTTCCATCAACATACAAACTGGATTAAATTTTCTCACATTTGTCAGCATGAGAAAAAATAATATGACGATATTATTATATAACTTGGTAATATTTGAGGGTAGTTACATCTCGTTGGAATTTGACTTTCGAAAAATCCGTTTGCCAAAAATAAGCTTTTTACTTAAAGCAGTTTCCGCAGAATCGTCGTTAAGAAATTACCCAACTTTTTGGAACACCCTGTATGATTTTTTAAAAAAATTCAAAATATGTAAAAAACCCAAATAAATTATGCTTGTCCAAGCGTTTTCCCGAAAGACTAACCGTTTTTTAAATAACAAATATTTTAATATTTGAGGGGCGTTTTCATCCTCTTGGAATTTGAGATTCGAGAAACCCCTCCTTATCGAACCTCTACACCCCACAGTCAACCCGTTTGCCAAAAATCAGCTTTAAACGTCAAGCAGTTTAAGCAGAATCATGATTACTCAATGGTCATATTTTATGAAACACCCTGTATAAATTTATAAAAAATCTTAAAATATGTAAAACAACAAAATAAAATATACGTGTTTAAGTGTTTTTCTGAAAAACTCACCGGTTTTTAAATAAAAAATATTTTAATATGTGAGGGATAGTTTCACCCCCTTAGAATTCGAGTTTCGAAAAATCCCTTCTTGTCGAACCTCTACACCCTAAACCCAATCTGTTTTCCAAAAATCAGCATTTTACGTCAAGCGCTTTAAGCAGGATCGTGATTAATCAATGACCAGATTTTTCGAAACACCCTGTATACATTTTTAAAAAATCTTAAAATATGTAAAAACACAAAATAAAATATACGTGTTTAAGCGTTTTTTTCGGAAACTTTACCGTTTTTTAAATAAAAAATATTGTAATATTTGAGGGGTGGTTTCACCCTCTTGGAATTGGAATTTTGAAAAATCTCTTCTCATCAACCTGTATGCCAAAATTGAGCTTCTTACGTTGAGTGGTTTGAGCAGGATCGTGATTAATCAGTATGTCAGTCACTTAAGGATTTTATATATTAGTATAGATTATATTAATAATAATAATAATTAATTAATAATAATTATAGAGCATATTACAAATGGTTGTAAAATACTCACTGGTACAGAAATACACTCTAAGGCATGACTTTGTTGCGCGTATTATACATCAAGAATTAGCAAAAACATATAAATGTATACGAGAAGAACAGCCTTATTACAAATACACGCCGCAATCTGTCTTTGAAAACGACACTATAAAACTCTACTGGGACAGAACGATCCATACTGACAAGACAGTAACATGCAATCGACCTGATATAACGTTAACACTAAAAAAAGAGGTGACATATCTAATAGAAATCAGTGTTCCGAATGACAACAACATAACAAAGAAATATGAAGAAAAAATTAGCAAATATATTCCACTAAGACAGGAAGTAGAACGAATATGGCAACAAAAAGAAGTTAAAATCCTACCATTTATATTATTTATATTATATTATATCTAGTACGGGCCTCACACACAGGAAATTTAAAGAAAATCTCGATATTTTAAATTTAAAAGGACATATTCACACATTTGCTCAAAAAGCAGTAATCATTAAAACCACAAACATAACCCGTTCCTTCTTAAAACAATAGAAACTCTGACAGTACTTGGTAATGTACACCCGTCTGTCAGAATATACCACCAAGAGTGAGAAAAAAAATTAATTAAAATAATTATATTATATTATTATTATATAAGTCGTTTGGCCTTAAATTATCTTCCGCCAAGAGAAATTGTGGTTAGAAATCAGAAGTTTAATAAGTGATTGTTTTATAAGCTAAATATTAGGCTTTCTCTATGGATATAAAGTGTAATTGACACCACTAATTTATCCACTAATTGCGAGGTTCTGAATGAAGCTTAACTTTTCCATTAATTATTCTTCAAAATTTGCGAGAAATGTCATTTTGGCCTTTGCTTATCATCCGTCAAGAGAAATTGTGATTAGAACTCATAAGTTAATTGTTTTTCAAGCTAAATATTAGGCTTTCTATATGGATACAATTAACTACCGCAAGCTGTTGCTAGAATATTCTATTAATTTCAATTGATTTTTTAGACATTGTGAGAGATTGTAAACTAAAAAGTAGTAAGTGTAATCGGAACAACTAATTTATTTCACTAGTTTCGAGGTTCTGAATGAAGCTTTATTAATTTTTGTTGTGTTTCAATATATAATTTTTGGCGTAGTTTTACTAATAGTTTAATAACAAACGAAACAATTTGAATTTTAATTTACAACGCTGTCGATCCTTAATTTTCATACTGATCAATATCCATCAATAGGACCATAACCTACTTTAGTTAATAAATATATGTATATGTAGTTACTAGAACGACAAAAAAATGTACAGTAATTTACGAAATACAGTAATGACGCCCAGAATTTTTTTCATCTCGTTTTCAAGTGAAAGAAGCGGTACGACAATATAAAATATGACGTAATGTTGAAGGAAAATTGTATAGACTATGTTAACGTTAGGTAACTTAGAAATAACGTTTGGTCATTTTCATACAGGTGATACGTCGGCGAAGGTACAGGATATGTGTTTCTCATTCGATTCTCGATGGGTGACTGTTTCGACACTTAGGGGAACCACTCACGTGTTTCCCATTACTCCGTATGGAGGAAATATAGGTGTGCGGACGCATACAACGCCACACGTTGTCAATAAGATGTCAAGGTATTTTTAATATTTTTTATAATCACAAACCATCCCCCTTTAGAACTTTTTCTTTAATGGCCATAAACGGGAGCAAAAGACTAATCGTCCAAACAAACACTAGAGGCGCCACCGGTCATCAAATGGTGTAAAAATTGCGAAAATTTAATCATCTAATTTTAATTCAGTTTTCATTGTTTTCAAACTACATTATTAGTTTTTTTTTGTATTTTGTGAATGTATAAATGTTTTCTTAGTATAAAGCATCATATTAATTTAAATTATATTGCATACATATTTAAAATTAAAATATTATAACAAATATGATGGGCAACGGCCCAGCTACGTCGAAACACCGGTTCCCATTAGAACACCGAAGTTAAGCGACGTAAGGCGATGCTAGTGGATGGACGGGTGACCGGTTCGAAACTTTGCATCGTGCTGTTGTCCAAAAGGGAAAAGTGTAAAATCTATTGATACACACTGCTCATTCTCGCCGGTTCAAGGCCGGATGAGATCGGATATCTCGTGAGTAAGAGTTAATAGACACTTCCTAAGTCGGTAGGCCATTGACCATGATATGGCCGAGGACCGCGGTTCGGATTCTGCGTAAACAAGTAGGTCCCGTTCAGTTTAGCCATTGCAGCAGAAAGGAAACGTTAACTTGAACCTCACAAATATGTCAGTTGCCATCTAAAATGTCATTTTGATAACAAAATGTTAGTTATTGTCAGAGATAGCTAAAATATTAAAATTCACAAGTTATAATTAGTAATTAGACAGTTCTGTTATATTTTATATTATTTCAAAAGTAAAAACATAATAGTATACAGCGTAATTTTGATAAGCAGGTTCAAAACAAAAAGTGCTGTTATATTTCTTAGTTTTCCCGTTATCAGCTGCGGAAGTTTCAGGGATTTTACTGTTTTCGGATATTTTTATTTGTGATAAAGAAATATTGCGTTTGGATTGCAATGTAAGTAAGCGTTTGTCCATTTTATATTTTACTTTTTTCATATCTACGGCAAAATATACATATATTGAAATTTTATAATTTGTTTTATTTAAAAAATGTTAGAAGACAAACCCGTAATTGACATACCTAATTGTTATGTAATATATTCCATTTAAATGTAATATATTACTTTACAATTAAAAAAATGTAAATTTAAAAAATATATTAAAATATATACAAGCATTAATTGAAATTTTTGGTATGCGAACAAACACGAGAGGCGCTTTTTCTTTACTTTCATTTCTTAACATGACAGATGAAGTTCTAAAGGGGGATGTTTTGTGTTTATAATTCAAAAATATTTCTATAAATATATTACTGTATTCCAACTACATACATATTTTATGTAAAAAAACTTTGGAGTAGTCTTATACAATTTATTAAATTTTGTAAACCTGTCTATTCTATACTTTTGGTTGAAAATGATAAAGCTACATAGAGTATATGATTCATATTCTGTATTTAAATAAAAATTATAGTAGAAAGTTAAAATTCTACACACCTTTCTTAACCATGGACGTTTTATATTTTAATTAATTAAAACTCAATATTGTTTACAGGTTTCATAGGTCAGCTGGACTGACTGCTGAAGGTCGTTCTAATAGCCCCGTGTCTATGTTCGAAAATCCCATCAGCTCAAACTTTCCCTACCACAATCCCCGCTTTGCTCCCTTTCCCCATCCCACAGTCATCAGTCCCTTGGCTCAACTGAGACAGCCTGTATACATGCAGAATGTAGGCACCGCCACTCCACGCCAAGGTAATTAATTGATTACATTTTTTAACAACTTTACGGTTAAACTTTATTGAAATGTTTGGTTCGTAATTATACACTTTTTATATTTAGGCAAAACTATATATTATATATACTATCTTAATACTATACCCTTTGAATAAAAATATTAAGGAAGGAGCATATCAAAAAACTTAGATCAACCGCGATTAGACTCAAGTATGGCCGACTTAAATTCCGATTTGTCAGTGCCGTTCTAATTTTATTTAAAAAGTGTAAAACTATGATGTAGGGTAGACGTGGGGTAGACTCAATAATTTGAAGGGTACAGGGGAAAAACGGGCTAAGTCAATTTTTAGCGAAATTGAGATATTGATGTCATTTGATAGAAAATATGTTAAATTTTGTTCTAAAGATAGCTTCCATGGCAATAACGCGATAAGTCAGAAGACATTAAACAAGAAAAATATCCCGTACAGGGGAATAACGTGACAAGTGCGGTACCGAGCAAAAACGGGTCGTGTTTTTACGCGCCTATTCGATAGCGTTCTAGTCGCCATTTTAATCATTTTGCCAATTTGCAGAGTTTAAAAAAGTTTTGTGGAAAGGAAGCTAATTAATTGGAAATTAATTAGAAAATTGGTGACCTCTCCTATAAAACAAATTTCAAGGCGAAAAAAAATTTTACTTTTTTACACAAATCAAAACATTAATTTTCCATTTTAGATGATCGGATCAATGTCAGAATAACGAAGATTATTTTCTAGTTTTTGTTCTGTTTCTCTATATTATTTATGTAGGTATAAATCTGGTTATTGAGTGAAATAAAATACTTCAAAATACAAAAGTGTTATAAATTCAGGAAAAAAAAGGGGCTAAGTCATGACCATTTACCAATAAATTTTTGATTTTTCTGTCAATTTTTTTTCTAAAAGCGAAAACTTTATGACTCAAAGATCCGAGATAGTTAGGGAATATATGGGTAAAAAAGAATTTTTAAATTGAAATATTGTATTTTTTGCAGTGAACTTTAAAATTGCTTTATCTCAAAATCATAAAATTTGGCTTAGCCCGTTTTTCCCCTGTACCCTTCATTTGTTGTTTTATTTTACGTTGCAAAATAAAACACTAAATCACCACAATACACCAAAACACTTTTACTTTAAAAAAAGTAAAAGTAAAAGTGTTTTGGTGTATTGTCGTTATTTAGTGTTTTATTTTGCTGTGTAACACTAAAGGTTCCAACTCTCAACTGTAATAATATTTTTTATTTTACGTTGTCAAATAATGTTGGTAGTTATTAAAATTGTTATAAAAATATATAATTCTTATAAAAATAGATAAGTTATAATAATTATTTATTAACATAAACATCCGATACGCTACTGAAGCAGGTAAGTCAAATTTACGTATCTAAATTCTTTGACATCTAATCTTTGACAAGTAGTAAATAAAAGCAAAAATTCAAGAAAAAATATATAATTAGTTAATTTAAATGAATTTCATAAATGATCAGTTTACTACACATATGTATATTATATAGTTGCTTACTCTTTCTCCTCCTAGGTGCCTTCTCTGTTGAGGTTGGCGATTAATATGGCGTATGACTCTCTATCCAGAGCTTGGTGAATAAGAGTGTTTCCGTCGGTGTGGATCCAATCTCTTAAGTTACGTAGCCATGATTTCTTTTTCCTCCCTATGCTACGTTTTCCATCGATTTTCCCTTCTATTATGAGCTGTATTTCTTCATATTCTGAGTGCCGCATTATATGTCCAAGGTAGGAAGTCTTTTTGATTTTAATTGTGCCTGTTAGGTGTGGACGAGTTTTTATTCTGTCTAAAACTTCACAATTTGTTGTTCTGGAGGTCCAACTTATCCTCAGCATCCGACGATACATCCACATTTCAAAAGCATTAAGGCGTTTGATGTCTTCTTGTTTTAGCGTCCAAGTTTCGCATCCATATTGAAGTAGGGGCCATATATAACATTTTAATATTCTTAGCCTCGTTGGTATACCTATTCTGGGATGGCACAAAAACTTCCGCATGTTGAGGAAACCAGCCCTAGCTATTTCTATTTTTCTTCTGATTTCTTTAGAGTGGTCTAGCTGGCTGTTTAATTCCCTGCCTAAGTAAATATAACTCCGCGTGGTTTCTAGATAGTTACTTACTAGCGAAAAGTTATTCCACTATTTCACTCGATTTTTTACCTTGATCTACCGCACGCTACACAACCAACTATTTTACAGTCTTTTTCGATAAATCGCAATAGTGTCAGTGTTAATTTAAGTTCTGTTACAATTTCCATCTAGATTTACTACCTTTATACAACTATCAGTAGTAGAATAAATAATAAATAACATAAAATAAGCTCTGTAGACAAATCCACAAAATTTTCAAATCAAATTCAATTGTGTCAAATGAATCGCCAGACAGAACTGTCAAGGATCCCCACCCTGGAGTTCTTTTTCCGCCCACCATGTATGAATACATGGATAGCCTTATACTCCTTCTTTAATCTTTTTATTCAAAGACTATACCTATTTAAAACAACGACAAAAATGGCATAGCAATTTTGTTTCTAGCTTCTATGGTTTCATAAAACAGTAGGTCGGACCGCAAACTGTTATCTTTACTTACTAATAAGCAATATAATCTTCATTTTCTACTAAAATGGGACACTCATTACCTAGTTATCGAGTTACAAGTAGATTTATATCTTCTAGGTCGCCAAAGACTCACCTCTTCCTCTGAAGACAACATTGCTCTTCGTATAACCGCTTGTTTTGCCTCTGCCAGAGCTTGGATAGACTCGGTAGCCATTCAAAGAGAACCGTCAGTAAACAAGACTGTTAAGCCCGTGGATTCGCTATTTGTCATGAACTGTCACGGTATTTTGGTTCAGTACGATTTGGAGCCTCACTGTTCCAGCAGTATACCAAAGGAAAGGATGTGCGACGAGTCACCAATCGAATTGACGGTTGTTGCTAAAGCCCAGGTACATATACATATTTTATGCAAAATAGATACAACTACAGGATACATGGTATTTTTTTCACAGATAAATTCTAATTGTCTGTCATCTTTTAAAAATATAAGATCTATCTGTAAATTAAAATGTCAAACAACCGTCACTGTCACTTGCCTCTCATAGGGCAGTCTTTATATAATGTTAAAGTGTAAGTCGAAAATTCAGTGATTTTTAACATTCACTAGTAATGTAAAGAAAGCCCAATACGTAATTGCTAGCAATTACGTATTGGACCAGTGAATGTGGTATTTTAAAGAGATTTGTCGACTTTTCCTAGTCAACATTCACTAGTGAAAGTAACATTTACTAAAGATTGCCAGTAAAAGTTATTCTATTGTACAGGGCGAGTTGATGGAAGTTAGAACAAATAAAACTTTTAAGAATATTGGATCACCTTAATATTCAAGCTGATCAATTATCTTACAATTACAATTTACTCCTTTAGTATATTTATTAAAAAATATAGAAAATAACGTCATAATATTATAACCTTCTAAATATTAAAAGGGAAAATATAGTAAACATTTTAAAGTGTACAAAACAATTTAAAAGAAACATTCATAAATATAAGATTACTTATTGGTGCAAGGTTTTATTAATAAAGTTCTTCATCGTGAACAAAATAAAGTATGCTCGAATTTTCTTCAACGGGAGTTATTCGTTTTTTTCAAACCCGCTACTTCTAGCATGTATTCTAGCATATAGAAAAATTTTGCTATGACTTCATTATATTGCAAAAATGAAAAACAAGCACTACTACATTCTTGCGAGTGCCTTAATTTTTCACAGAAAATTTCTTCCAGAGGAAAAATACCGCACAGCACTTTTTACAACGATAACAAAACATTTATGATTAACCACAAAAAAACAAAGCGAATTTACACCAGGTGTTATCTTCTCCCTATTATTCAACTTATCCTTATTTATCCTTATATTCTACATGTGGCAACCGCGCTAGCTGAACCTAACCTAACTCACTGCTATCGTCCTGGGAATGGTAAATGTTGGTTCATTCACTAGTAAAAGTTGGTTCCAACCAAGAACAGTTAACCTAATAGGACTGCTCATTCAGCCAAAAGTGTCCGCCAGATGCATGCGGAAACTACTCGCTTTGTGACGTCATTGTAGTCCTTGTCATGGTTATTAGTCCTTATCCGGCAACCAATAATACATACAGGTGCATTATTGGTTGCCGAATACAAAACGTTCATTATTTAGTTTATTTATTTAAACACCTTATATGTATGCAGTATAGAAAATTAACTGTATAAATCGTATTAAATACTCGGATAATGCATTTTTAAGAACAGCAGTTCCCAACATTACCTTTTGCAAGCATTCTTTTTAGAGTATTTCCATATATTGCTTTAAAATAATTAATAAACTATATCGTAGGCACTTAGTAAGCACTTTGTCACAATCCACAACACAAAATGAACGTATTTATACACTCTATAGCTCTAAAAACTTTAAAGACACCTTTTTCACATATAAAATTGACAAAATAATTAACTCAAAATTTCTCAGCTGTTATTTTTATAAGTTTACCATAGGCAACTAATAATACACACTATCATGACAAGGACTACAATGACGTCACAACTGTCAGCTGAAGCGCGGGAAGAGGCGAACGTACGTCTTATGAGGATGAGCAATCCTATTAGTTTACTGTTCTTGGGTTCCAACCATGTTCCAAGTGCAAAAAAGTGTGGTTATGTGACAAAACGTCGGAAAAACTGCAGGATAAAAGTTGTTAAGAATTTGATTATATTTGTCTTTTATTGATTATGGCTATAAATAATGTCCTTATTTACAGTGGAGATTGCAACGGCAACCTACCTCCGTTGACAGACCTCTTCCAGTACCTCATCAAAATTTAATATTTTTTGGTTCCACAATACCCAGCGCTAAGAGAAAATCCGAAAACAGTTAGTATACGACATACCCTAGGCAAAAAGTTTTATTATTAAGCAGGCTTTGACTTTGACAGTTTAATCTCTTATCCTACAGTATTGTCAGTGGCTGGATCTTCATCATAAAACTTTTTGATTATATTTCATTTAACTAAAAGGAAAACATTTAATACAAAGTATCACTAATAGGTAATGACGACGATTGGTTGTCTCAGGTCGAAATTATAACTCACGCCGGTCCTCATAGACGACTTTGGATGGGTCCTCAGTTTACTTTTAAGACTTACACTACCACCAGCGGGTAAGAAAATCGATATAATAGTTCTATACATGAAAGAAGACGACTACGACATACCTATAATTATATCCTTAGATCTTATAAACTTTGTGGAAAAAAATATGTTGTAAATTATTAAGCGGCCCATACATTATCAAACAAATTGCGCAACGAAGCGATGCGCAACGTTGCGTTGCACAACTGATTCAGCGGTCCATACACTATCAAACAAGTTGCGCAACAGCATCACCCACATGCACTTGTAAAATGTTCATCAAACTTTTTATTAAAAGTTTTGAGAAACAATCATGTCCTCAATTGCCATTGCGTCAATTATTATCGTATATACCCTAGATGATGTCGATGATACCAAAAAACGAAAAAGAAAACAAAGAATTTGGGTGAAAGAACTAAAATATTGCACAACGAAGCGCAACACACACACACTACAATACACAACGTATTGCGCAAACATTCCTGTTGCACAAAAGAATTCAAACATTTTTGAAACTCATCAAACAATTGCGCAACGCATCAAACACTACCATACATTGGCAACTCATGGCGCAACAGCCTGCGTTGCGCAATTTGTTTGATAATGTATGGGCCGCTTTACACACAACACACAACTTTGTTTCTACGCGTAGGAGGTGCATTTTTTTATTTCTTTTTAGAATGAGGTTAAGTTATAAACCTATGCTACAGTCTGTGTGAGCTATTTGATCTTGTGCAAAACGATATTGAACATGAAAGCAAACTTACAGGTTATATCTTTACAAATTTTTTGATCAAGATTTAACTGCTATGTATACAGGGTGGTCCGAACTGTATTCCGGAAACTTCGGCAGCATATTCTGCAGATAAAAATAAGTAAAAAAGTTCTTATAAATGTATGTCCTAAAATGCTTAGTTTCGGAGATACAGGGTGTAGAAGTTTCATTTTTATTTCGATTTTTTCCAAATAATTTCTGAAGTAACGTCAATATTTAGATGAAAATTGGTATCTGAGAGTTTTTTCACATGAGAAATTTGATTTTGATGTTAATATAACTCCTATTTGTAGGGGGCGCCACCTACATGTGTTTTAACTGTTTTTAGGACTAATAAATTTTCGTCCGTACTTGTATAAAACTACTGGGTGAAAAAATATACATTTCGGTGATTTTTTACGTCAAAAATATCTCTTGTTAAAAATGGCTACAAGCAACCGTTCTTAAGATATTTAGAATGGAAATAGTCAATACATGTCATTGACAAAAATAAACATGTTGTGAGTAGATAGTTATTTGACTGAAATAGTAAATTTGGGAACTTTTTTGTTTTTTTTAATCATAAATTTTTCTTGGAAAAAAATGTTGATAAAAAAGCTTCTGTTGAACTTTTGACACAAAAACATTTCAAATTTATGATTTCAGTTTAATAACTATTAGTCAACATAGTTATAGTCAACATGTTTAATTTATGTCAATGACGACAGGTATTGATAATTTCGATTCGAAATATCTCGAGAACCATTACTCGTAGCGATTTTTACCAAGAGATAAATAAAAAACGTCGTAAATGTATATTTTTTCACCCAGTACATAGTTTTATACAGGTACGGACGAAAAGTTATTATTATTCAAACCAGTTAAATAATATGTAAGTGACGCCCTCTACAAGTAGGAGTGATATTGACATCAGAGTCAAATTTCTCATGTCAAAAAACTCCCAGACGCCATTTTTCATTCAAATATTTATGTTACTTTAGAAATTATTTGGAAAAAATGAAAATAAAAATGAAACTTCTACACCCTATATCTCCGAAACTAAGCATTTTAGGACATACATTCATACGTACTTTTTTACTTATTTTTATCTGTAGAATATTCTACCGAAGTTTCCGCAATACAGTTCGGAACACCCTGTATATTATTTCTTATATTTATTTGAATTTACTTTAAATATAAATTTCAAAATGTTTTAAGATGCTACTTGGAAATACAGCTACACTGAATTGGCAGCATCAAAAAACATATTTGACATTCAAAAGTCAAATATATTCAGTTAACCTCACTTTGTTAGTGATCTGAAAAATCGTATTACATATTTTAATATTCAATAATCGAATTATAAACCACCCATATTATAATAATTCTAGAGATTGCACTTACAGCACAAGACTGTTGTCTCATCATTTGTAACTCGTTTGTTATTCTTAATTCGAATTGACAGTATTGGCAGTGTTGTCATCACTTCGCAAGTTAAAAAGGACAAAACAATCGAATTATACACTTAGAATCGGGTTGTTTGTCTCTCTAACTCTCTGTTGGTTTCTTGATAACGGCAAAGAGTTTTACTATTATATCATATTAGATAGGTACTAGATCATTCATTAAAAAAAATCATCCAGGATGATCACGATTATTTTCATAATCGAATTAAGAATGATTTTTAATTTTAATTATCCCATCACTACACTTTTTTTACATCGTTTGTCACGTAGTCTTAGTATCTCAGTAAATACATCCCATAAATATCTAATGAAACAAACAATATTTTTGTCAATTTTAATGTTTTTCGGCATAAAATCTAAATTTTATTCCTTAAAAATGACATATACACATAAGAAAAACAGATAGTGTGATAGGGACGGTTAAATATAATCGATTTTCTGTGATATTATCTTATGTTGGGCGATAAATTCAGTAATTTTTCCATTTTAGTGAAGCATGTATGTATAAGAAAAATTCGTGAAATTATCAATATTAATAACGTGAAATTAATCAATATTCTGACGCAGTCGTCTTCTTTCATAAAAAAGAAAATGAATTTTTCTCGTATCTTATGGATTTCATCTGTTTTTAGCACCCCTATGTCACTGGCAGATGCCCAACCTTTGGATTTGAACAGGTCGAAGCCGGTAAACATGCCCATAACGAAAGCCAACGCTGTATTGATTGAATCTAGTTCTGCAAGTAGCAGTGAGCAATCTCTTTTAGATACATACAGGCGAAATTGTGAAGCATTGGGTGCCGCAGGTGAATCTCAGGTAAATATTTTGTGCTAATTTTTTCAACGTTTAAAATGTTTCAACCGGATACATAGTTCTGCTCTTTTTTTCTTCTTTTTATCAAGAGGAAATTGTTATTTTTGATTTTGACCCTGATTTTGATCTTGACCAATTCCGACGTCCTCTATTGAACCACCCTGTACTAGAAATAAAATATACAGTCGTTATATATAATAGGTCTAAAAGCCTAAAAGGCTCATGGCTTGATTGGTTATCTTACTCCATTTGTTTCTGTCTTTCGCCTTTATTCTCCACCCATCCACTCTTGTCCCTCTCAAGTCCTCTTCAACATCCTTTTTCCATCTGGTTCTCGGTCTACCCGTCCTTCTCTTTCCACCTATTTCACGTTTCATTATACTAGGAATTCTTGCTTCAGCCATTCTTTCAATGTGTCCCAGCCATCTCAGTCTTTACTACTCCCGTTATACTCGGTGCCCGATATAGCTGCTTCAATTCTTCATTTATTCTTCTGGTCCATATGTTGTCTATCTTCTTTCTTCCAAAAATCTTCCTCATTATTTTTCTTTCCCAAATCTCTAGCCTCGAACTTTCCGTTGCATTGAACGTCCACGTTTCACATGCATACAGCACTATTGGTCGTACCGTGTTCTTACTCTTAATAATTTTCTATAGTGCGCTAACACATCTATTTCCTGCCATTATTCTTGCCATAATTTGTACATACAATCATTGCTAGACACAATTTAACTTACAGGATTTTGTTATGTAGATTTCTTTACTGTATTTTTTTATAGATCAAAGAAGACTTAGCTGATGCTATGCTTGAATCTCCTGGATCGAGAGATACAGGTAAGTTTTTTAAAAAAACGATTTTATTGTACTAGTTCTTTTTTAATATATACATATTTAACTTTTAGAAATTATGTAATAGAAATACAGTTTTTTTTTACATTTAACACACTTTTCGGTATATTTTCTATAAATTCTTTGTAAACTTCTTACAAAAAATAAAATATTTTAAACGTTCTACTTTAAGTTTTGAAAATAAACTATAAAATTATATTTTTAACCACCCGATAAAATGATGTACACCTCCAACTATTAATTGCTTTCGTTTTAACCGGTTTTTAACAATCAATTAAACTCCGAAAATCATTTTGGTTGTGGTTCATTAATCCGCTAAAAATGGAATTAGCCAAAGGCAGGCGCCACTGAACACCTCTAGTCTATACACGTTATGTGAAAAAGAGGCTTTATTATGTCATTAATCTCTCTTTCATTAAACTAGTTTTTTTTCTCATAACATTTTAGTGCTTTAGCGTTTTTGGTTTCAGCACCTCTAACACTCCAATTTTAAAGGCACACACGTAACTATTTTATTCATTTAATATTGATTAATAACTACTGGAAAAAATGCTTTATAGCCAGTGAAAAGCTATTTTGTACAGGGTGTTCACGTACATAACTAATAGTTATCTTCGTAAATATGGTTTTAGAAAAAACATGAAATTATCATTAAGTTTTATTTATTTGTCTGAATCGTCATATTCTTATTTTCGGAATAACTAAAAGCTATCAGAAGTGGGAAATTTTGACAGGAATCGTATTTTTAAAAATAGAATGTCATGAATCTTGAGAGATCTAGACGATATATGATAACAATTTTAATGTAGTTATGAACGAATACACAAATTATAACAAATAAACATATGTCTAAATGTATAAGCCATGGAATTCACAAGATTTTAATAATTTAAAAACATGAGTTTTTTTATATAATTTATATAATATTTTCACATAAAAGAATACTTATATTTTACATTATGTAAAATATTTTGAATTATTAAAATATTGTAAATTCCATGGCTGACCTGAACAAAATTTATAACGTGATGTTAATGTGACCATATTTATTTTTTTAATTTCAACTATGTTTTGAAAATCGGAAATAAATAATTGTCTATTTAACTGAAGATTCGGATATAAAGCATTCTGTTTAAAAAAGCTACTAATGTCAATATTTCACGATTTTTACAGTTTTCTATATATAAAAATATAACGCTCTCATAATTTAAACTTTTTCTTAAACCAATATTTACTGCAGATATTCGTACACACCCTGTTCAATCTCGAACATGATATAGTCTGTCTATTGATAAAATATATGATTTCTACAGACCTACATCCAAAAATGATAAAAAAATAATCACTTAAGCTTCATTTAGAACGTCGCAATTAGTGGATTAAATTAGTGGTTTCAATTAGTATAGAAGTTTGTTCCTCTAGTTTTAATGTAAGCATTCAGAATGTCAAAATTAGTGGTAAGAATTTTCAGTTAGTGGAAAAAGTTAACAAAGTTATAACTTTTCCACTAATTATACTTATTATTAAAATTTGCGAGGAATGTCATTTTGGTCTTTGATTATCTTCCGCCAAGAGCAAAAATTTTGGTTAGAAATCAAAAGTTTATTGTTTTCTAAGCTAAAAAATATTAGGCTTTCTCTATGGATGCAACTGATAACCGCAAGCTGTTGCTAGGATATTCTATTAATTTTAATTGTGCTTTTTAGACATTGGGAATGATCGTAAACTAAAAAGTATAAAGTGTAATTGAAACCACTAATTTATTCCACTAATTGCAAAGTTCTGAATGAAGCTTTAATCTATATTGACTTAAAACGATAGACAATTATCGCTGCCATATATTTGTTCACTCGATAGACTATACCTAATACTTGTGTGACTGTAATTGACAAGACCGAGCACAATACGTAAATCATGTACGTAGACAATATCCAGACAAACTCTTAACAAAGTTTACTGAATAAAAGTTACGTGTAGCCTTTTATTACAATCCTGCATGCCGCATGAAGCTCACCCAACCCCTCCCTCATTTAAACCCAACTATAATGCTTCTTAGCGATATCTATAGAAACACGAATCACATATAAAAGAAATGTCAGTAACCTGCCATTGGCTTTTTCTGTCTAGGTGGGCGGTGTGTGATCGTGTCTGTGAAACCGCCGGCGCCAGCTGCGCGACGTGCCTTCCCGGCGCCCTCTCCCATCGCTAAAGTCGTCAATCCATTGGGTACCGTGGTCACGGTGCAGTCTTCCGACGAGGAAACCGAGGTTACGGTCCCCGAAGACGATATTATTTACGAGAACTGCGACGAGGCGCTGTTCAGGCCCATGGTTTCGCCCAAAATGTTAGCTTACTGTAAGAGCAGTAGCGCACACGCGGGAAATATCATGACTAAAAGTCTGAAGGCCGACACCGAGGTGACTGTGAGAGTGCTAGACAGAGACTCGCCTCATCCCAGTTCGTGGGAAGACCCCAAAATACAGGACATTAAAGGCGATATGAAGGTTATAGTCAGGCATAGAGAAGTTTCAGATAATGTCGCGGTTAAAAAGGAAAATTCAGATATAAGTATTAATAGAAAAAAGAATAGGAACGATCAAACCAAATGTAAAGAAAATGAAATAATCAGTAACAAATCTGAAATGCTTGAATCAGTAAATGACCCTCTATCTCAGTCTTATCAAAGGATCGAACCATCGATAATTGAACCTGAAATTCTTCAAAGTAACATAAAAACTATTCCTACCGAAGTTAATTCTAAGCCGAGCAAAAAATCAAAATCGAAAAATTCTTCTAAAAAGAGCAGTGATGAATCGAGAAGTAGTTCAGAACGGGAACAAGATCGGAACGATTCGAAACAACTAAGTACCACGACAGATCCTTTAAGGGCCTCTGAAGTATCCAAGAACAGCAGAACCGGATCGAAGAAGAGAAACCAGAACTCCAAAACGAATACTTCGGTCATTGAAGACTTGCCAAAACTGGACGATCCCGTGGAATATTCTGTTAGTTTGAAACTGCCTGCAAAATCGTACAAGGATATTAAGCCAAAGGTTGTTGATGAAGTAGACGCAATACCTTATGCCGACTATGACCCATCTAGAATCCAGCAAGAACTGGAAAAAGAACTAGACGATGAAGTTTTTGAAAACACCAACAAAACATCAGATGAATACCCAACTATCAGTCAGACCAAGTCATTTAAAAAAGAAAATACCTCTAAATCGACGGGCATTCTTATGAAAGGTCTTGGCATCTCCACTGACATATCTTTTCCGGCTTTGGACGAGAAGCTGGTCAATCCGGAATTTCCTCCCCTAGAGGAGAACTTTTTTTCTTTAGAAAACATATCGAAGGTGGACAAATTTGAGGACGCTGAAGATTGTGGGCTTCCTCTGGAACCTGTTGAGAAATACTTTGAAGAAACGTCTCAATGGAACGTGCGAAAAGCTACTAATGACGATATTTGGAATACGGTCAGTACTTCGGAAGACAACATCGACGATCAGAAAAAGGATAAAGTAAAAAAGAAAACGCGGAAACCCAAAGCTAAGCTCGGTGTGAAAATACCGGTACAGAAGGAGAGTAGTCCTGATTCTAATAAGAGTAAAGACGACTTTTCTGATAAAATTTGGACAGATGTGTCCACCGAAATAATACTGCCTCCGCCGAAAAAGACTTCATGGAGTTGCATCGTGGCGAAGCCTCAAAAACCACTAAATATAATTGAGAACGAAGAAGTTACTAAGGCCGAAGAAGTGGAAAGCTACACTATAACCATACCGAGAAAATCGTACTCTAGCGTCATCACGGAGAAGCTTTTGGACATAGAGACTCCCGAAGAGCGCAACAACTTCGCGACATCGTTAGACGACTTGTTGGAGATTGACAGAAGCGAAGAACTGTCACAAGGGTCGAATAAAGTTCCGGACTTCTTGAAATTGAGTGAAAAATCATCGGACGACGAGAAAAATGGGTCGGGCAGTTCGCCGGTGGAGACAACGGAAAGTTCAGACGAAGGGAAAACTGGGGGAATTGTTGTGGAAAATAATCCTAAAACTCAAACCCGTACCGGTGGCAAAAAGAAGCGAAGACGATAAATTTATTTATTTTAGGGTTATATACAGGGTGTGCCAATATTCCTTGGACATAAAACTACTACGTATTTTTGGAATCAAAATTAGTTCATTGGACACAATTTACCTCTATACGAAAGTGTTTCGTTTGTCCGCAAGAGAGCATAGTTAAGTAATAAAATATTTTAAGAGCCGTTATTCCGATATGAGTGAGATTTGGGGTGCCTATATGTTTTGGTAAGTGCTTTATCATTTGAGATTCACAAAAATGAAGAAAAAGTACGTAAGGGTGAAAAATATCCCCACCTCTACATAAATTTTAGTATAAATATTTTCCAACCCCACCAACGACCGATTTTATTTTGGTAAAATGGTCCTACTAGTATTTACTTCGTTTTTTGTCCTTTGTAAAAAACGCCACATCGCATAGTTTTTGAGAAAAACATTTTGGGAGAATTTATTTTTATAAAGCAGACCAACAAAATATACAGGGAGTTCCAATATTCCGTGGACATAGAAGAACTACGTATTTTTTGAATCAAAATAAGTTAACTGCATATAATTTGCTTTTAAAAGTGCTTCGTTTGTGCGTTAGAGGGCATCAATACAAAAATAAAACTGAATATTAATTAATTTAAAATTGATTAATTTTTAAGCTTTTTATGTAGCTTATGGCCAAATATAATTTGTGATACTAACATAAACTTCATATTTTTTCCAACTAGATTATTAGAGCTTAATAGATTTTATGCGCTCCATAGCTTGATGTGACAAAAAACATTTTTTGGAAATCAACTTTGGAAAAATAATTTTTTTTCCAAAAAATATGCGCGGTGGGTTTTTTTTGCAAGAGACAAAAAATGTAGTAAATACTAGAAGGGTCATTTTAGGAAAAAACATCGGTCGTCGGTTGAATGGAAAATATTTATACAAAATTGTACGTAGGTGTTGGGGGTAGTTTTCTCTCTTCTCGTAGCTTTTCTTGTTTTTTGTGAAAGTCAAATTTTAAAGCACTTAGCAAAACATAGACACCCAAAATTTCAGTCAAATAGGAATAACGGTTCTTAAAATATCTGAAAAAATGTGTTTATGTTTTTAAAGTTTGATGCCCTCTAACGGACAAACAACGCACGTTTGTATAGAGGTATACGTAGTAGTTCTATGTCCATGGAATATTGGGACACCCTGTATATATACTAGGGCTATTGTAAGTTAAGAATGAAATTAAAAACAAAACAAAAAAAACGGTGGTCTTAAAAATAGTAGTAATTTGGGTCTTTGCTATGCTAAAACTAGAATCATGTTTTATCGAATTTTGAGTTTAGTTCTGTTTTAGTTATTTGTACTGTTTTTCCTATTTAAAAACGTTTTATAAAGTTATGTCAGAATTTTAGTGTTATTAGATCGGGGAAATACGCAACAAACTGCCTCAAACTATCTCTACTTTGATACCGTTTTGTAAACATGTAATAAAACACTGTAATTAAACATGGCATTAATAGTTTTATGAAATAGTATTCTTTTTCTCTTTTAATAATCTTAGTATTATGGATAATTTATTATCAATTTTATGAAAATATTTTTTAACTGTATTGACAAATAATTTAACTCAAATAACTGCTTATTAACTTTATGTTGTATAATGTTAAATTGGCAACAAAAATATATTTTTCATGTGCAATATTTACACCATATTATAAAATATATTTAACAAACGAAATATTCTGTACCTGATCTTTGCCACTAAGGCTTATTTATTCATTAGATCGATACGTTTTTATAATCTAATTTTGTATGTACGTGTATAAAAAAAACTAAATTATTCTTTTGAATTACTGAATGTTGTAGAATCAAAGTTGTAAAAATTCATATAATTATTATGGTCATTATCATTTTAGTTTTAATATACATTTTATGTATATAAGTTACATATTACCTGTCTAGTCATATTAATACACTTCCAGAGTGACAAAAAATAATATCTGTTTAAAAAAACACTCTATTAAAGGTCAATAACGACGAGAACTAGCAACGTCGGCAAAAAACAAGTCTTTTAAGAAAGCTGGCTCTTTGATATACCTTTTACTATGCTCTGTGGAACAGCGTGCGGGTTGTCTGGCTGCCGGCAAATGTTACGTTTACTACTGCACATTGAAAGAAGATCCTATATTTTTTTATTAGTCCTTTAAATTCTAGTATTGAATATAAATCGAACAAGTCTCGATAGCGCAGCGCGCAGAAGGAGTCCGAGTTCGAGACCGGCTCGGGGTATAAATGTTTTTATTTTATTTTCGTTTATATTCTGATAGTAAAGTATTAAATAATTCTGGTGATTCAAAAAAAAATATACAGGGTGTCTCAGATTTTAATCGGGAAAATTTAATAGACGATAGAACTTGCAAAAATAAAACAAAAAGTTCATATCAACTTGTAAGATTTAAAGCTTCCTTTTCGAGATACAGGGTGTTAAAGTTACTTAAAAAAGAAAAAAAAATTAAGATATTTGAAAAACTATTTAATCGATTTTGATATAACTTGACCCGTTTATAAAACTTGCTATGCGACTTAATTTGATGTAATTAGATTTAAGTTTAATGGCCAGGGGCGGCGGTGGGGCATCACTGTTAAATTATTTTAAAACTGCTTTTTTAGAAGTTTAATATTATTTTTGGATTTAGTAATTAAAAATATAATTTTTTTGCCTCCTGACTTTTTTGTCTACCTTGCTTACTTCTTGCGAAAAAAATTAAATTCTAATTGGTAATTAATATTGTAATTAGTATTGTAATGGTACCCTGTATCTCGAAAAGGAAGCTTTAAATCTTACAAGTTGATATGAACTTTTTGTTTTATTTTTGCAAGTTCTATCGTCTATTAAATTTTCCCGATTAAAATCTGAGACACCCTGTATAATTACACAAACTTTGTACCTGAGAAGTTTATAATTTCGATAACTACACAAAGTAGTACACAAAGTACTAGTAAAAAAGCAAAATAATTATGACAGCCACGATTTCAATTTTATTTCGATGTTCAGATTCTGACAGTTCTGATTTCTGCCGTACCTAGCGCTGCTGTCGGAATTTATAAAATCGGTTGAAATGCATCTATAAATGCATATTATTTGTTTTCAAAGCGGGTACCTTTATTTGATAGTTCAATAGTTCGAAATCCTAAATAAAAAAAATTGCCCATATTTTTTATAAGTTAAATAAAATAAAAAAATGTCTATACCTAATGTAGCGGATTCATCTCTCCAAAAAATCCTATATGGGTATTTCGCCACTGCAAGAAAATCTACAAAATAAAATGGTTATTTTTTGTAAACACTTTTGCGTTAATCCAAACGGAAACTACTTGTCAGAAATTAGCTTTACAGATATACGAATTTGCCTAACGAACAAAAAAATGCTTAACGTTTCGGAAAGTTTATCTCTTTCCGTCGTCGGAAGCAAAAAAAATGCAAAGAATAAAGAAAAAAACTATTTAAAATATTTAAATTCAACTATTCGAGAACACTTTAGTTTTTTATAACAGATACGTCTACTAAAACCGTTGACGTTCTGTTAAAATGACATTATATCAAGTTAAACTTCAAAATTAACAATTACTACCTGATAACAATTACTTAATAAGGTAAAACCAAAAAAACCCAAACTTTCTGTATGATTATTTTTAACTTTTACATATATGTTATGTTTATTTATGTTATGTTCTTTAAAATCAAAGAAGCGATTGCCATACATTACTAACATCTACAGATGCATGAGCAATACATTTATTTTTATTAGATTGTATTAAAAAAGCCTCTTTCATTTTTCTTTTTCGCTTCTTTCATTATAATTTTGGCATTAATAAAATAGTAGATATTAAAGTGTAAAGTGGTTTTTATTTGAAACAGATATAATTTTTTGTCTTTTTTAAGTGTTAAAAGAAATAACATTAATGGTGTTTTAAACAAAAATGTATAAATTTGAATAACCAATCAGGCACAGGGTATTATAAATCATCATACTCGATCCAACGAAAGAATTGCGATGTGATAGTTTGTTATTTTTGGATTTCTTGAATATCGTCTGTCACAATCGTCCATTCTCTCGCTGGACAGACTAGTTTTTTTGTTCTATATTTTTGAAAGGTTCATTTCTTCAAGTTTCTGGAAATATCACCTCTGAAATTAAACAATTTAAAAAATTAAATTTTTGTCTATCTGCTGTTGTACAGGGTGGTCGAAATTGGTCTGGTTTAACAGAGAAAACCTATTTCCTGACTAGATAGAGCAAAACCGACATAGATATCATGGGCTTTATTTCTGAGACACGTTTAATGGCGCAAACCGCCTGTTGATATTTTCAATGCCAACTGAGATACTTTTTGAATTTTTTAACATTTGGAAAATTGCCCATAACTTTTGTATTTCGCGGAATTGTAAAATTCTATAAAAACGCTCTTAAGGCGCTTTATCCAGTGGTGTAGTCAGTTTTTTTCTATGCTTGCTCTTTTTGTTAGAAATAATAAAAAATATAATTTTTTAAATGAAAATCATAGCTATGAACTTAAAAAAATGCGGGCGTTTAATCGTTTTAGGCGTTAGTTTTTTTGTTCCAATCCAATTCTCTCTAATTTCTCCATTTAATAGTTCTGTTGTAACCATGGCGTTTTGAAGGCCCGCTTCGAAAAGATAAAAAACCTAATATTTCTCTCATTCTTAGAAATAAATACCCATAATTTTATATCGTTGGAAAGGATTAAACGCCAGCATTTTTTTAAGATCATAGCCAACTATGATTTCCATTTTAAAAAATATATTTTTTATTATTTCGGACAAAAAGAGCAAGTCTAGAGAGAAACTGACTACGCCACTGGATTGTGCTTTAAAAAGTGTCGAAATATGCCGAAAAAGTGCGAAATACTAAAGTTATGGACAATTTTCCAAATGGTAAAAAATTCAAAAAGAGTATCTCAGTTGGCAGTGAAAATATCAACAGGCGGTTTACGCCATTAAACGTGTCTCAGAAATCGAGCCCATTACATCTATGTCGGTATTGCTCTATCTTGTCAGGAAATAGGTTTTCTCTGCTAAAACTAGACCAATTTCGACCACCCTGTAAAAAAACAACCATATATTATTACGATGATTTTTAGATCAGCGGAGTTTTAAGAATAAGTGATATTTCAGAATTTTACAGAAACTAGGTATTATGTTGTAGGTATACCATACCATCGAAAAAAAAACGGCGTCACAGATGCTTTGGAAATGAAGATCGCAGTCAAATGTAAAATTATGTAGGAAGTATCATCGATTTTCATTTTCAAACCAATTTTATGCTTTTTTTGAACATACGGTATTATATAATACCGTATGATTGAATAAAAACGCCGTCAGCGATGGCTATAAAATGACGATCGATGACATTTCCCATATAATTTTACATATAAAATGACAGCGATCTTCATTTCATAGCCATCGCTGGCGCTGACGCCGTTTTTATTCGATCATACGTTAAAATAATTTGT